GTTATACTATCTGCCTAATAGAGATATGAACTTGGAAAAACGAAGCTCATTGTCTCTAAGGTTCCATGCCCTTTTCATTTCTGATCATTTCAAGAAAAGAAAAAAACTTGACAGAGACCAAGGTGGGCAAACGGCTTGTTTTATTGACATCAGAATGAGCGGAGTCCCTGGGCTCCACAACAGGAGCCCGTTTCTTGTTTTTATTCAGCTCCCTAGCAAGACAGCGCATGAGCTCTCACACTCAGGCTCCCCGTTGTCCGAAAGCACACAGGTTGTTCAGCTGATCTTCAAAGGAAATATTAGACCTGCGTACACTTCATGTACCCGACGGCTAACATTCCTTTAGGAAGAGGCTGGTAAAACCCAAATTCTGGTCACTGTCCCAGTCATTGTCCAGACAACTATTTCTCCCCCAGGTTTATAGTTTAAGTGACTGCGTCAAACTTCGTTTACCTTAGAGTAGTGGTTCTCAACCTTCCTAATGCTGCGACCCTTTAATACAGTTCCTCATGTTGTGGTGACCCCCAATTTCATTGTTACAAATTGAACATAATTAAAGCATAGTGATTAATCACAAAAACAGTATGTAATTATATATGTGTTTTCCGATGGTCTTAGGCGACCCCTGTGAAAGGGTCGTTCGACCCCCAAAGGGGTCTCGACCCACAGGTTGAGAACCGCTGCCTTAGAGCCTGTTCCACCAAGATTCATGGATCTAAAACAAGGAAGTCCAGAGAGGATCTTGTTTCTGATCCTGGATTCTCTCGTCTCTGGACCCTCCAAATTCTTGAAATCCCAGTTTCCCACCCATCGCTACCAGGATCATACTGCAGACACTGCAAGTTGTCTGTGGGCCAGGTGGGGACTGTGGCAGACTGGAGGGCGTAGGCTTAAGATGGCACTTGTTTCTTTGTGGACAGAACCCAGTGTTGCTGGGACAGAACCCAGTGTTGCTGGATCTTGGGACTTTTTCTGACTTTTAAATGTTGGCAATTGATTCACATTTTAATATATACAGGGCAGATCAAAGAACCACGTTGGGGAAGCCAGTTGGCTACCTCTTGTTCGCTGGGCAGATTGTCTTGTAAAGGGCTTTGCACAGACCTGGCCTGGCTCCTCACTGAGCACTGGGCAGTGGGCAGTGGCTGTTATTATCCCAAGGCCCAGTGGCCTTCAAGGAGCAGAGGCCTTCCTATTGCTGCAGCCTCAAAGCTGGTAACACCCAAAGTCCCCGGAGCGCACCTCCACCAGCGGAAGGAGTGTCTTCTCGTGTGTTATTTGAACTGGAGGAGAGTGGCCAGTTCCCTGGAGAAGCAGCTTTTTCTGCACTTCTCAGCCTCAGCTGCGCTTTAACAGGTGTAAACTGTGCCGGCCTTCCTTCCGCAGTTGGCAGCAAGCCTCTGCCCTTGGCTGCATCCTTGTGAACAGCCCCTTCTCCCCCCCTCCCCCCCGCCCCCCTTCCCCAGTCAGCCTAGGAGTGGTCCCAAGGCCTATAAAGGAATGCATTGGTCAGCAAAACCTGAAACTGCTCCTCCTACATCAAATGCAAAAATTATCAGCGATAAAAAGGGCTCTCTTCTAATGTGCACTTTGCTGAGTGGTGTGTCTTAGTAGACAATGACGTTCCCATTGCCTTATTACGTCCCCAAGTTACAAGGCAGCCTGACTCAATTATCACTGAGAAGGAGGTGCTGAGCCAGCTGCTAATTGGAGCTTGGGAGGGGACAGGCTCAATGAGGGGCTCTCGTCTCCTGGGAAGCTTTTCAAAACTCCAAGGGCCCAGCTATCCATACTCTAATTGAGGTGATTTTAAGCGGGTGGAAAGGCTTGCTGGGTGGTCAGATAATTAGAGGGGAGGCCTTCACCTTCAGGCCAAGGAAGAGCCATCCTTAAACTTTAGTTGGTGTCTCACAAACGAGGAAGCTGTTTCTCCTTTTTATTTTCACTTTTCAGGCAATGAGCTAAATGAGGCTATTCAAAGGTAAGCACATTCAGTAAAACAGGAACAAAAACCAAAGTCATCATCACAGATGGTCTTAGCTACCTAAGTGGCCTTTGAGTAACAGAGCCACTTCCCTGGCCCTGACGCTCTGCCCCCTCCACTCTGCTAGGCAGGCTTTCTCAAATGCAAATCTGAGCTTTTTCCCAAGGAAATACTCCTCCTGTGACTCCTGTTTTTTTTTTCCTCTTATTTTCTTTTTCTTTTCTTCCTTTTTTTGTTTTGTTTTGTTCTTTTGTGACTCCTGTTTTTAAGACAAAGGCCCAACTCCCCAGCCAGGCACTTAGTTACTCCTCTTCCTTATCAGCAATGGCTGGGCATATGAGATAAAGACTTCATCTCTCAGACTCTTTTTCAGCTAAAAGTGGCCTGGTGACTCCACACTGGCCAGAAGGATGTGAGCTAAAGTGCTGTGTGAAACTTTTCTGAATTGCCCCCAAAGGAAGGGGGACAGGAGCTGCTCTTCTGGCTGGAATGAGAATGGTGTAGCGGGCGCTCCAGCTGCCATCTGGGTCCGTATGCTGACCTTGGAAATGGAAAGCACACCCAGTAGAACTACGAGCTGAGAGCCCAGGTCTCTGACATCCCAGGGGCCAGGCCTGCCTCAGCTGGTCTACCTCCAACTCTCTGAATATGGGAGAGAAATAAACATTCTTGTTTAAGCCACTATTATTTTGAGAATTGTTGTGGTAACAGCCTATTCAAAACTAATGTCCTCCCCCATTACTGCCTTGTGCCTCTTTTGTGGCACTTGGGCACAAGCTGAGTGGTGCAGAGGGTTCAAAGGTAATTCTGCCTTTGTGATCCTCATCTCGCTGGAACTCCTCTCCATGTTAGAGCACTTACCCTGGAGAGCCCTGAGGACTGACCCCCCAAGAAGGCCACAGTGAGTGGCTTCTTGGTAGGGACACTTTTTTTATATCACATTTCTGGCACCTGGTACAGAACCTACTGCTGTCTATAAACACCAAAACTGTGTTTTTTTTCTGAAAGAAGCAAAGAGTATCTAAAATAAGTAAAGATCTAATGAGCCAATCTAGACCAAGTCTGTAGCTATCTTCCAAGGGAGTGCTAAGAAGCCCTCTCTCCCCAGAGCGCAGGGTTTTACATATACTTATGGACATTTTCCTGGGAAGATGGTCTAGGGATGTTGTCATTTTCAAATGAGAACTGTGATCAGACAAGAGGTAATATCATTGCGTTGGAGAAACTGTTAACACCTTTCGTACCGCTCACGAGCTTTCTCGTGTTTCGCGCACCATCTGTTAAGGACCGCTCACGAGTTTTCTCGTTTTTCACGCGCCGTTATGGACCTTAGATGTCAACACACTGTCTTGTCCACATCGAATGAAGCGATCTCATTGGTGGAAACCGTGCAGGTCAATCTACGAAAAACTATATAATTGCACGAACCCATAAAGCATTGCAGTTACATTGTATTTTGGTCATTCGAATAGTCTTCGTCTTCAAGTTCCTGGCGCTTTTAGAAAATGTTTTACGCAGTACCATACGTTAAAAAAGTACTAGGAACTTTAATTGTTTAATTGTTTTTGTAAATAAAAATGTTATAATTATTGAAAAACAACACCTAAAGTGCATTATGATCTGTAGTTATGATGATTTAAATAACGTGCAGTTTGCCCAAAAACATGCGGTCCCTGGCGTATGTCTTAGAGATTTCTATGCGGTACGAAAGGTGTTAAAAAAATCATTTTGTAAATCTTAAAAATTGCCCAGCCAGTATGACTCGATGGTTGAACATCGACCTAAGAACCAGGTGGTCACAGTTCAATTCTCATAAGGGCACATGCCTGGGTTGCAGGCTCGTTCCGCAATAGGGGTGTGCAAAAGGCAGCCGATCAATGAGTCTCTCTCATCGTTTATGTTTCTCTCTCTCTCCCCCTCTGAAATCAATAAAAATATATTTTAAAAAATTACTTGCTTTCCACTAAGGCAGCGGTTCTCAACTTTGGGTCACGACCTCTTTGGGGGTCGCCTAAGACCTCAGAAACACATATATATACATCTTGTTTTTGTGATTATCACTATGCTTTAATTATGTTCAATTTGTAACAATGAAATTGGGGGTCACTACAACATGAGGAACTGTATTAAAGGGTCACAGCATTAGGAAGGTTGAGAACCACTGCACTCATACATACATACATACACACACACACACACACACACACACACACTCTTAATATGAACATCTTTTAGAAAGTAGTAACAACTTGCTCAACTTTTCCTGTCCTGGAAAGTAAACAATTATACCATCTATAATAATAAAAGCACAATATGCTAATTAGACCAGACAGCCGGACGACCTTCTGGACGAGGCCTGCTGGGCTGCGAGAGCCCAGCCCTTGCCAGGAATTTCATGCATCAGGCCTCTTAGTTTAAATATACTTGGGAATATTTTTCCTCCCTGTATAAGCTCCTCTTTAAAATAGGATTGAGAGAACTATTCTAGAAATATTTATAATGTAAACAGAAGATGCTATGATTAGAGCTGGAGCCTTCTTTAATCATTTTAACTAGAAATCTGGCTCTAGAAATGGATATATGCTAAGAACCTGACTGGCATTGGGCCCCTGTTGGAGGCTCTGAGCTGGAGCTGATGACCCTAGTTAGCTGAGTGGTTGTAGTTCTATGTGCCATTCTCTTAGCAATGTTCATGCCAGTGCCAGGTCAATAACCGATGAAGTTCTTTCATCTTATTTAAAAACAGAGATATAATATGCACTTAATTTCATTCAATAAATCAATTCCATTTAACTTATCTTCTCTTAGAAAACTTAGGAGAAAGCTAACATTAAGACATGAAAAATTACACTGAAGATGTGTGGCACACTGAGAGTAATGCATGCACATATGGCAGGTAGGACCTATAATTTAAATGTGTCACAAGAAAAGTCAAATTACTATAATTTATTGCTGTATCTATGCTTTCCCAGTATAGTTGTAATATCTGATGTAGCCACAAAGTGCCACCTTCTGGTTTAAAACTGTGCAACACCAATACCTCCTTTATTTCTTTTTAAATGTATTTTATGGTGGACGTATAAAGCAACAGCAGCAGTTACAAAATGTTGTCTGAGTAATTCTGAGAGCTCAAAACAAGGATCCGTGTATAGGCTGAATAAAAAGATGTTCAATTACTAGTGCACATTGTGTAACTTTATCAAGCATCTTTAGCTGGATTTTTGTGTAAACCTTAATAGAGATGTGACTCACGGAGACCAAAAGTAAAATATTTTTTCCTTTCACGGTTTAGTGAATTGGTCTGCTTTCACGCAAATGATTTACAAACTACAAGAAATGCTGCATGTGAGAACTAGGCATAAAATGTTTCATTTTCTTACAGAGGAGCAGCAGGGGGCAGGGACAAAAGTAGACACCTTGTTGCCACCTTTCCCAAAGATGCACACCCCCAAGAATGGCAGTGGAAACCTGGCAGCAAGCCCTCTTTCAATTCTTTTTGGTTGTTTTCAAAATACAAGCACTTTCTGACATTTCCCTCCCCAGCCCATGAACCCACCCTGATTTGGCAGGATACAATCTCAGATCCTCTTGCTTAGTTTTCCCTTAGAATTATTTACAGGAGCCTACAGATATGATAAAAACTAGTATGAAATTAATGATAGTTTGCGTTTCCAGATTCGTTTCCGTGGTTAAATAAGCACACTGAGCCAACTCCAAAGATGGTTCAAAGTTAAGGTGACTCAGAGGCATTTGCATCCGTTACCGAAGAAACAGGCTTCTGGCTGGCTAGGGTGGATTCGCTGACTCTGTCCTCAACAGTGATCGGGGCCTTGGAAGTTGGGAGCGTTACATCCAGAGTGAGTGCTGAGGCAGCATCTGCTCTTGCAGTGGTCATGACGGGGTCGGAGGGTGGGCTGCTGGTGGGTGGGAGGGAGGACAACAGCTCCGCTGAGCCTGCTGCTGGAGAGACCTCTGGAACCAAAGGGAATGACGGAAGGAACTCGGATGGCAAGGGGAGAGCTGCAATGCCAGGTAAGTTTCGGGAAGACAAGGAAGGAAGAGGTGGCAAACCTAGGACAAAAACAGCACAGATCATACATCCTCCCAGCACTAAAAGAGTAGTCATAGTCACATAACTGTTTGTATTGACCAGCTGGCCAGGAGGAAAGGCTCCCTGTGTCTAGGCTCCTATATGCCTCGGCTCCCTGTCCCAGCTCAGGGAAGAAATGACTCTCCCAGTGGGAAAGACAGCAGCCCCTCCAGCAGGCACCGTAGCCACACTGAGTGTCGGACAGGAGAATCTCACTCACCCAGGAAAGCTGCAAGCTGACTGAGAGCTGCCCTGGACAGACAATAGGATGAGGAGACACAGAAGGCAGCCTCTGGGAAGACTGTGGAAGGAGGGGCTTGTCATGAAGCCCCTGCATTAGCTTCATCATAAATACCCAGCCTCTGCTCAAGCCCCAGATTGATGGATGACTGTTTATATTTAGTGGGTTTATTGTGTTGATTTTAAAATGCACAATAGCCCTGGCCAGTTTTGCTCAATGGTTAGAGTGTCAGCTTTCGGAATAAAGGGTCAAGGGTTCAATTCCTGGTCAAGGGCACGTACTTTGGTTGTGGGTTCATTTCTTGCCCCCAGTGGGGGCACATGCGAGAGGCAGTCAGTTGATGTGTCTCTCTCACATGGATGTTTTTCTCCCCCCCCCCCGGCCCCCACCTCCTTTGACTCGCTCTGAAAATTAATGGGGGGGAAAAAAGAGCCCTAGCTGGTTTGGCTCAGTGGATAGAGTGTCGGCCTACAGACTGAAAAGTCCTAGGTTCGATTCCGGTCAAGGGCACATGCCTGGGTTGTGGGCTCGATCCCCAGTAGGGGGTATGCAGGAGGCAGCCAATCAATGATTCTCTCTCATCATTGATGTTTCTATCTCTCTCTCCCCCTCTCCCTTCCTCTCTGAAATCAATAAAAATACATAATTAAAAAAAAAATTCCTTGGGTGAGGATTAAAAATAAGGAATCAATAATAATAAAGGAAAAGAGTATTACTTCTTTCAGAAACAATGGAAAGGCAGGTTGCACAACAGGTTCAGGGCAACCACTGGGCTGATTAAACCTTCAATGTCAATTTGGGGAAAAGACAGGAAAAAGCCAAGAATGTAGGGCACAGAAGAAAAGACAGAGAGCGCTAAGACAATAAGCATTAGCGTTTACAGGAATGAAAAGTCAGCCCTGACATGTGGCCCTCCCCAAGTCAAAGGTAACCTGGGTAACCATTAACTGGAAGAGCAGACTTGTGGGATATACTCTGCTGCTTCATTTTCATCAGTGCATAAGAAGAGTGTGAACACTGAGTATCTGCTAACTTACCTATTTGCAGCTAAAATCTCTCACAGTTTTTATTATAAACATTTAATAATGGAGAATATTTATTAAATGACAAGTATTTATCAAAAAATAAGCTAACCAGCTGAGCAAGGGCAATGGTTTTACAGTCTAAGTTTCCGGGCCTGGGCTA